GAGAATGGCTGATGGGTGAATTCTGAAAGATTTCCTGTATGGAGAATTAGTGCAGGGAAATCGTCCCAGAGGGAGATCACAGCTGCGATACAAGATCTGCAAGTGGGATCTGAAGGCCTTAGGAATGGACCTCAACAGATGGGAAACCTTGACATCTGAGTGTTCAACCTGGAGGCAGGTGGTGCATCATGTCCCCTCCCATTTTGAAGAGACCCTTCTCCAGCAGGCCGAGGCAAAGAGGCAGTCACGGAACCAACAAAATCAGGGAGCTGGACAGGGACAGATTGTATTTGTCTTCATTGTGGAAGGGATTGTCACTCTCGAATTGGCCTTCTCAGCCACACTAGATGATCTTCCAAGTCCTCCATACAGAGCATATTACCATAGTCTCTTGAGATTGAAGGCTGCCTAAAACTATGGTTTATAATTATATGAAGAATTATAACATTTCAACAAATGTACCATTGCAATTATGAATCAATTATGTGCTTACCTTTTTGCAGATATCTCTGAATGTCACATTTTTGTTTTTGAGATTTTTGAATGCGAAAGGAGATGGTGGATAATCTGTGTTAGGTACTTGTGGAAAATGAGTGATAAATACCAGCCTAAAACTATGGTTTATAATTATATGAAGAATTATAACATTTCAACAAATGTACCATTGCAATTATGAATCAATTATGTGCTTACCTTTTTGCAGATATCTCTGAATGTCACATTTTTGTTTTTGAGATTTTTGAATGCGAAAGGAGATGGTGGATAATCTGTGTTAGGTACTTGTGGAAAATGAGTGATAAATACCAAAATACATGTTTCTGTACCTCCAGGAGAAAGATATGGCTTGATTAATGCACACCTAGAGTTTAAAAAAAAGTGGGGGCAGAGAAAAGTATAATAATTACAAACAAATTTAATTCTAGTTGAAGAAGTTGGGTGTGATGCCACCAGAACAGCCACTGCCAGTGAAATGCAATCGAATCTACCAGATCATATGGGCTAACAATGGTGATGCAATCAGCAGACAGTATGCTGGTACAGCAGCATTAAAGGTAAAAAACAACAACAAAAAACCCAGCTTGAAATAATATGATCTTTATGTTGCACTTTAGTAAAGTACCTTGCCCTTAACATTATTAAATAACATTCCTTGCTAACAGGAGATGGTTCAGTTCTGTGAAACAGAAATATTTTCAATATGTTATTTCCTTAAAACATTTCTAACAAATAAACTAAATGCCTTTTTCAAATTCTATGGAAACTAGACTGTTTTGGGTTTGCTGAGCTGTTCAAAAACACGCCTGATGATATTACTACAGAGATTGTTTATATTTAGTACATTTTTGCTGCCCTGTATGTATTTGCAGTGAAGCAAACCATTTGTCATATTGGATAATGATCTCTTATTATAGCATAATCTCTTATTATAGCATAATGATCTCTTATTAAGACTGTAGCATAAATCTTGTGTTTAGGTCTTTGCAACTATATTTCACAGATGAAAGGTGTGTTTCAAATGGTGATTATGAAATGTGTTTTAATATGTGGCACAACATTATATTTGAAATGCCATTTTCTACTGCTATAATTTCTCAAAGCAAACTTTGGAAAATTGAAAACTGTTACCTAAAAAAACAGACTTGTGAATAACCAGCTCACTGAATATTCAGAGGGGCATTCTGTGTAATAGGGTGACTTTACAAGGACCGGAGAAAGGAAGCTGGCAGGAGTTATGAAAGATGGTGTTAACTCTGCAAACAGATACTACTTAAATCGCTTCAGGGATGCCTACAGACAGGCAGTCATAGGTAAGACTGTTTCAGTCTATCTTCATGCTGGAATAATTACCTAATTGTTGAATTCTTGTTTCAGCTGACTTACTTTTGAGAAACTTTAAACTTAAGTGGTTTTATCTTGAGCAGTTTCATTGTCTGGTGGGGAAATGATATTTTGAGACTTTCAGCTAAACTACTTATTTGGTCAGAATCTTTGTGACTATTTATGTGTGAACTGGATTGGCCCATTTTAGCTGATTTTTCCAGACAGTAATTGTTATATGTTTTTTTCCCTTCAATAAAACCACCACAAAAACCCACACAAAATTTCAGGAAAAAAATGAATACTTTGAATAAGGTGGTGGAAAAAGTATGAGGTCAAATGATGGTGGAAAAAGTAAACTTAGTAAAAATCAGTGAATTCTCCCCCAAGCTTTAGCCAAGTTATGCTATCCTTGTTGGTTAGGGAACCAAATAAGAGAGCCAGATACCACTTTATGTCACCCCCTTTTGGTTATTGTATATCCTCATTTTAATATATTTGACTCTCAAAGCTCTGAAGTATTTAAAACTGCTAATTTGTATTTTCATCTAGTATTCATTTTATCTTACAATTTACTCTGGGACACTCACTGTATATTTTATTGTGTTGTGTTGTGTTGTATTTTTCTTTTACTATTTTTTGGTGGGGTGTCTAGATTTAATGCAGGGCATTCCTGTGACAGAGGATCTCTATTCCATATTTACAAAAGAAAAAGAACATGAAGCACTGCATGGGGAAAACTTGAGAAGTCATCAGGAATTGATAAGCCAGTTATTGCAAAGTTACATGAAGCTGCTTTTACCAGATGATGAAAAATTTCATGGTGGTTGGGCTCTTATTGATTGTGATCCAAGGTATGAAAAAATCTAGAATTATCTTAACTATACAAAACTGTGGTGTCTTCCACAACTACTAAATGTGTGATGAGGTGATACAGTGTGAATGGGGGAGGAGATTATTCTTTACCTTTGTTCATCCAATTTGTGTTTCATATAACTTCCCTAACCTGCTGCCCTTCACGTATATTAAGCCACAATCTTCATTATTCCCAATTGAGGAGTAATGAAAATTCTAGTCCGCTGCGTGTGGAAAAGGTACCAGGATGTGGGAAGCTGCTGTATTATATGTCCTAAAGAACATTGGTTAATGGGGAAAAGAACTGGAATGCTAAAGAAAGTATCTGTTGTTAGAAAATGGGATAACAGACAGACCAATACTGATTTCCTGGGTTTAACTTTCAGATTGCGTGATATTGTGTCCTCACTGCATTCAGTGTTGAGGTCTTGGAATCTTAAATGTCAATTTATAAGTTAGCCATCTAATGTGGTTATTCTTGACTGAGTCCTGTATTTGATTTCAGTTAACTTCTAGATTAGATAACTATAATGCATTATATATGGGGCTGCTTCTAATAATGTCTTAGAAACTTCAAATACAGTTGTCTGATTAACAACTTGGACTAGATGGTTTGATCATGTAATGTTGAAAATTCATGTGGTCCATTTCCACCCCCAGTTCAAAGGGCTGGTTTTAATAGTGAAAGCTCTTCTGTCTTGGGGCTAGAGTATCTAACAGTTGGTCTGATATTCACATCTGTCTGCCCAGTTACCTCAAGATCTTTGACATATACCCTTCTCTAGGCTTCCCCCCCCTACACACTTGCATCTGAAGTGTGGTTGGTGGCAGCTAGAGAAACGGCCTTTTCAGTAGCAGTATCCCTGGTGTGAAATGTTCTTCAGGGAGGTATTCTTCCTTGGTTGTTTTGTAGATACTAGATGAAGACCTCTCATTTCAGCTTGTTTTATCATACTTCTTTTGTTTTTCTTTGGTCAGTTTTGGATTTGACTATCTTTAGTTTATCTCTATTTAATTTTTAAGTTAAGACATGTTTTGTGTCTGTGCTTGTTAACTGCCCTGGAACCTTGTCTCAAGGGTGAGGTAAAAACCTCTGTGGGTGTGTATATCCTGCACAGTTGTAGCAGTTTGATAACTACAGTACTTTATCTGTGATGCCACTGTGTTTGTCCTGTCTTGAACTATGTAATCTAGACTCCCTAGCAGAGATCCTGGACTTACCATATCATACTACTAATTCTAGAATTCTATAGCAGTGATTCCCAACCGTGAGTAAACAAGGTGTTGTTGGACTGCAACTCCCAGAGGCCTTTACCACTAGCTGTGCTGGCTGGAGTTTCTGGGAGTTGAAGTCCAAGAACACCTGGGTTACTTAAGGTTGGGAACCACTATTCTATAGGATAGACCCTTGGAAGCTAAAGTGGCATCAAACTTCTGTAATAGTGTAATATAAGTACATTCTGACACAAATGCTACAGTGTTGATGTTTGAAGTTAATATCCATTTGTGTGTGAAATTACTACAACAGTTTTACAATTCTTCAAGAGCTACTGGTATTAGCACAGTAACACTCCCCCGCCCCCGTAGTCTGCCTGTTTCATGCGGTCACAGTACTTAAACATCACTCATTTGGTGCAGGATTTGGTCACAGAACGTGTTCTGTGCTAGAGATACTTATAGTGGGAAGCCTATGAGGAGGTTTACAGTTACTGAACCATTTCACCTCTTCAGCTTAATGTACTTTGAAATAAGAAATCGAAAGATACTTTCATTCTTTACAAGATTTTGAATCAAGTTGTAGATTTCTTGATTTTGTTGATAGTGTTCTAACCAGTCATCTGTAAAAATGGTTTTTGTGTTCATATTGGTTTCTTAGTTGTGTGATGTATAAAAGATCTGATGTATTTACTCTGTAATTTTTGTTATTGTAAAATTCTATATTGTTTTTTATTTAGCCTCATTGATGCTACTCATAAAGATGTAGATGTTCTGCTGCTGCTTTCTAACTGTGCCTACTATGTGGCCTAGTAAGTAGGATTTTTCCTCCTGCTTCATACACTAAACACAAAGATGTCAGAAAGTCATCTTATGTATATTTGGTTGGTTTGTTTCTATTGCATGCATTGTGAAATATTCAAAAGGTAACTTTGGGTATTGATGTTTATTTATCTAGCTATGATGATGAAGTAGATAAAGTAAACCAATACCAAAGGCTGAGCCTTGAAGATCTGGAGAGGATAGAAATTGGTAAGAATAAAGCACTTATATTTTAATGCATTCTAGCCCCTTTTCCTGCCAAGATTATTGTGATATTTGTGACAGTTATTGAAAATGTGAATAACAGTTTAAAATATTTTTGGCTGCCTTATACTGAAAATTTAAGATTTCTTTGGCAAATTTTATAGGTACTTCTTACCAAAGCAGGTGGTGTAGTTACAGCTGGGAAAAACACAGATAAAATACAGAAGGTGAAAGGATTTAAAACAAACCCTTACCTTTCCTCTAAATAACTTAAATATGTGAACACAAATGTGTCCCTTCCCCTTTTATCCTTGATACAACCCTGTGAATTGGGTGAGACTGAGAGATAGTGATTCCCCCAATATTATCCAGTGAGCATCATGCCTAAATAAATTTGAACCTGCAACTTCCAAGATCCAGTCTCTAACCCTCATGTTGCATAGCTGTAGAGGAAAATAAGCAAATTCATTTATGTCACCAGTTTCATGATACATAATTGAAGCTACACAATGGAACTGCAGGAGATAGTTTACAGAGGGGAAGAGTCAATAGCAGTTGATACCACTGAATCAGTAGTGATGATAGGAGCAATGTTTCATCTCTTCTTTGATGCAGCCAGGTAGAATGGCTGCTAATGGAAAGAGTTAGAAGATTCTGACATGTGTTCTTTGAAACGTTCACTCTGTGTTCCTAAGAGGCTAATGCTTTTTTAAAAAGGTTCTGAACCAACTCTTTTTGGAAAGCCCAAGTTCTCCTGCATGAGGCTCCATTACAAGTACAACAATACAAGTGGATATTTTCATACCCTTCGAGCTGTCATGCGCAACCCTGAAGAGGATGGAAAAGGTAAATGGGCTACTTCCAAGGGTAGAAGCACATTGTTTTTCTGCACTGCATGTAGGAGATATAATTTAATTTGAAGGATTCCATTGGACAAGTCTTTGGAGCATAAAATAACTTAACAGGAAAAAAGCTAAGAAATCTACATTTCTAAATACATCTGTTTTACAGTTTGATTTTATTGAACAACAGTATAACTCAGAGATGAGACAGCTAAGCTATATACAGGGTTTGGAATAAGCTAATGTTCTTCTGCCAGCAGAAATCTGCTTATGCAAGCAGAATCTTGTCTACTGGCTGATCTCAAGGAGCCTCATCTGGTAATTTATCAGAGAGAAAGGGTTGGGTTTCAGTATAGTTTTCACTGGCCCTTGGCCGAGTAGGATTATAGATAATTAGTCATGATAAGAGAAGTTAGCTCATTCAGGGGTGCTCAAGTTTATCCCCACTCGCAGGTTTTTTTCTCTACAGTTAGTCATTGAGCTGCTACTCTCCTAGGCTAGGAGACAGGAGGAAGGGCTTCAAACTTCCTCTGTGTGTGCCTGAACCTCTGAATAGCACAGACCTGTAATAATAATAATAATACAGTCAGTGACCAGGAAGATAAGAGTACACTATTTTGATAAAATCACATATCAGAGATATTGGTCAAGACATGACACCATCAATGCACCCTCTGACCAACTTTAATTAAAGTTAAAAAGAAGTTCTAAGTTAGCAAGCAGTATTGAAAGATGTAACATTTTTTAAAAATGTCAAAGTAGTCACATGATATAGGATGAAATTAGGAGACACACATAACTGTCAGTATGTCACCCTGCAGTTAAAGATGTGAGTCTGCTACTATCACAGGACCAAGATCACTGTTCCTAACACTTCTACTTGACAGTGATTTCTATTTTCGTATTTAATTCTGTACACTACTGCCTGCAGTGTGAAATGGTATATCTAAGATATAGAAGCAAGAATGGGTAAAACTTCTATTGAACCACAAATTATCATAAACCTATGAGCTTTCCTATCCTGCATGATTTTTTTATTTTATCAGGCTGGGCATTGGAGTGCTTTTGGGGCAGGGAGGAGAACACAAAATTCTAGGAACTATTCTGGCTGAATGTTGAAGCTCCAGCCTCTGGTGATTAGTTTGAGATGTGTTCCATTCTCAACTTTCACTTTAGGAGATTAAAGCCAGTTGTCTTTTTCTCCTTTTGTGGATTAAGACAGTGGTCCCCAACCTTGGGCCTCCAGATGTTGTTGGACTACAATTCCCAGAAGCCTTCACCACCACCCTTGCTGGGCAGGATTTCTGGGAGCTGAAGTCCAAGAACATCTGGAGGCCCAAGGTTGGGGATCCATGGATTAAGAGATGCCACTTCATTTCCTGATACTGAAATATAATGCTCCTCCTCCTCTGGCTGTGAATAGGCATAGGCATCCTTCAGTCTCAAGAGACTATGGTAACATGCTCTGAATCGAGGAGTGTCCTCTCCAGAGCATGAAGCCCGGGTAAGGTAATATGGAGGATAGGCTGTTACCCAAGCAGCAGATCCCCCCTCTCCACATTGCTGAAATGATCCAATGGAAAGGCAAGAGCCAATACAACTGGTTCCAGCAATGTCGCAGGAGTTGGCAGAACGACACATGCTGCCTTCGGGACTCCAGCTCCGGATTTTGCCTCGAGGTTAACTCCTGAAGCCTTTTCCATGA